TTAAAATTAGCGATTGAATGATGAAATTTCTGTTTCACAGTTAATTGTCATGCATGGAAACTAATTGCTCTTCTCAATATCAAAATTTTTTTTAGAAGAAATCAAATTAGAAGTTTCATTAATTGAAAACCGAATACAGATATGAGATATAGATCGATATGCTTTTATATTTTTATATAAGAAGTCTAATAATAAACTACTTATACAAAAAATAAAACAACACAATCTTGATTTAAAGTATCTAATCGAGTTAGCAGAACATAATATTTGTATCATAGGCAATCACTTGCTCCACTTTGTAGCTATTCATGGCCATTATTTGACTCCATGGTTTTTCTACAAATTCGATCTGATTATCTTCAAATTTTTTCCTTCTATTGGAGATGAGATATGCACTTCTTTATGCATAATTATTCAAATAATAAAAACCGCTAGACAAAATCACCATAATGATAATAACAATAACTCAGAACTAGTAGATATGAAAAACAAATTCCAAGATATAGGCAACATTAAATTCCAATTTTTGGGTAACAATAATTCAGATATATAAACAAATCTGAAAATTATTTCAAAAAAAAAAAAAAAAAAACAAAAAAAAAAAAAAAAAAAAAAAAAACAAACAAACAAACAAACAAAAAAGAAGGAAAAGGGGTGACCACTGTGAGTGCTCACCGGTGGCCGCCCGTAAAAGAAGAAAAATGAGCTTTTAGGTTTTAGGTTTTGAGAGAGAGAGAGAGGAGAGAGATTTTCTAGTTAGTTCTTTAGTTTCAAAATTAATCTATAGAAAAAGATTATTACTGATACAAATTAAAGCATGCAAACACCCGAACATACAACTAGCCTGAGCATTATCCAGATTTATAACGCTAGGTCAAAAGAACATTTAAGAATCATTTAAACTGAGTAATAAATATTCAAGATTTCCGTTCAGCACTTGTGACCGAGATCATTGCTAGGCATTGAAAACCTTCAGTTACACTTAAAGAAATTAATGTATCATGTACTAAAGAGGCCATTCAATTACATTCTCAGTTTCAAAGCTTGTTTCTCTTTTACTTCTATCAATTTCCATTATTTTTTCAAACAAAAATTTCTACTTCATGTTGGATTAACTTGTGCAGGGCTATGGAATGACTGAAGCAGCACCAGCAGCAATGAGCTTTGCATTTGCAAAGGAACCTTTCAAGGTTAAATCTGGTGCTTGTGGGACCGTTCTCAGAAATTCTGAGATGAAGATCATTGATCTTGATACCGGCAAGCCGCTGCCCCGAAATCAAGCCGGAGAGATTTGCATTAGGGGTAACCAGATCATGAAAGGTACATATAAAAATACTTTTAACTAATGTTTTCTACTATTCAAGTTATATACATATATTTTCTACTAGTATTGTTTGCCCGTTCCTTGTTAGAGGAAAGAAAAGGCTAAATCATTAAAAAGAAAAAATTCCAAACTTTACATGTAATTTTAATTGTACTCTAAATCCCACTTTCATTTACTCGTACCCTAAATTTCAATATTAGTTACAATAGCACCCTAATTCAAAGTATATCCAATTTAATAAATAAAATATTATTTTCATTATACTTATATGGTTAGATTAGTTAAAAACTCACCGTTTAACAACACCCTAATTAATATCGGTTAGAAATTTTTTTAAAATCATAACAAGCCAAGTAAAATAATAGATTTTAGTTAGCATTATACTTATATGGTTAGATTAGTTAAAAACTCACCGTTTAACAACACCCTAATTAATATCGGTTAGAAATTTTTTTAAAATCATAACAAGCCAAGTAAAATAATAGATTTTAGTTAGTTATAAGCATAAAATATTAGTTTAGGTTTTTGTTTTGAAATTTTTTAAGCATGGAATTTTAATTAGGGTTTATAGAAATTATACCCAAGTTAGATTTCTTATGAAAATAAGTTATTTCATTACGGTAAAATTTTATTTTTAGGGAATCATTACTTGTTAATATTATTTTTAAGATGAATATATTATATATTGGGTATAATTTGAAAATAATAATTTATGTATTAAATTGTACCCAATTTAATGAATAAAATATCATTTTTTATTTCAATATTGGTACAATTTAAAATTAGGGTGTTATTATAACTAAATGTGAAATTCATATACTAAGAGAAGAAAGTTAAATCTATAATATAATTAAACTACCTGCAAAGTTTGAGATTTTTTTAATGATTAAGCCATAAGAAAATGAAGATTGATATATGCAGGCCTAGCCTACTGGCCGGATAAGGCCCAACTTGGGCCTTCTCACCTTTCTTTTCTTTTTTCTTTTTTTTTAATTTTTTTTAATTTAACCGGATCAATTTAAACATTACTTAAATCCATAGTTTCCCGTTGATTTCAATCTTTTAGGAGAGTGAAGTGAAATTAGACCGACTTACTTCTCTCCTGGTTCACATCAGTTTCTAAAAGAAGCTTTATTGATCAACTCGAATCCGTTTTTACGACTCCATTTTAGTTCAAAATGGATGATAACACCTAATATAAGTAAAAGATTAGCAGTTTAAATTAAACACTATATTTTGTTTCCATCCCTTTCAAAATTTCTGAAAACTAGTTTCCCTTGAAAAGGTAAAATATAAAATTAAAAATAGGAATAATTACTATATGGTCCCTAAATTTTTGTCAAGTACACTAAAAAATACCTCAATTTTCAATATTACACTTTTTAGTCCTTCCATTATAATTTTGTTATACTATAAGGTCTAATATTAGTTTTGCTTTTAATTTGGTTATGAAATATCAAAAATACTCTTAGAAATAATTACTATATAAAGACTAAAACAGTGTAAAATTATGAAAATTGAGATTTTTATTAGTAAATTTCATCAAATCATAAAGATTGTGAATTAATTATTTTTAGGAACATTTCATAGTCACTTAACAAGAATACTAACGGTTGGACCTTATAGTGTAACAGAGTTATAGTATAAGGACTAAATAGTGTAATTTTGAAATTGAGATCCCTATTAATGTATTTAATCAAAATTTAAGGACTACATAGTAATTATCCCTTAAACATAGGTTGTTTAAAATTGTCTTTAATGTAGTGAATGTATAGTTGTATAAAAGTTTTGACTTTGACCAATTCTTGTTGGACAGGCTATCTAAATGACCCAGAGGCAACGGAGAGGATAATAGACAAGGATGGATGGTTGCATACGGGTGACGTTGGATACATTGATGATGATGATGAGCTATTCATCGTTGATCGTTTAAAAGAGTTGATCAAGTACAAAGGATTCCAAGTGGCCCCCGCCGAACTAGAAGCACTGCTCATTGCCCATCCTCACATCTATGATGCTGCCGTTGTACCGTAAGCTTCTCTACCCCTTAATGGAAAAAAAAAAATATATATATATATATATATTTTAAACACAATTTTACTTCAAATATTTTATTTTAAAATTAGTCCAAGTGGCTAATGCTGATATACTGGGATTTTATCAAAAATAATGCTTTTGAAAAGACTATTTATAAATTTAATGGCCAATGAAAATTATTTACTACTTTAATGCATGTCCTGCCATAAAGAGAAAATATATACTAAAATCATCGATTCAATTGGTGGTCTTAATGCAATAGAAAAAGTAATTCATACCGACAAATAGACAGTAAAAAGTAATTAGAAGAATAAACAATAGTTTTTATTTTGTATTGAAACCATCAATTCAATTTGTGTTTTCAATACAAAATAAAAAATTTAAATTATAGCGAATGACCTTTTCGTCAAAACTCACAATTTATTTGACAGTTTTAGTGTAAATATGGGACGTGACTACTAGTCAGCAAAGAGTTCTATCCATAAAAGTTTTGTTAAGAGTTCACCAAGATAACTAATGATTTCAATAAAAGAAAATATTTATTTACTCAAAATATTTTTTGCACCAAAATACACATATCATCTTGTGGTTTTGGTGGATAAATATTTCAAGTTAAATAATAAAAATATAAGCTTCCTTGTACAATTATAAATTACTAATAGTAATAAAATGCTTCGAGTTGAACTTATATTATATTAAAAACATCTTAATAACTAATATATGAAAAATTAGTCATATTAATATCTACCCACATGTCATCCTGTACCATTTCTTGGAGGCATTCTATTACAACGCGGGTGTTGACGTGCTACATTTCTCTAATGCCTTGATACTTTTCTTTGCGCTCAATATTTATGTTGATACTCATGTGGAGAGCTTGAACCATATTTAATTATGATTGTTGTGGGTAGACCCAGCCATATTAGGGTTTCCAGAATCGGAATCGTCAGTTCCAAACCGGTGGGAATCGAAACCGGTAGGAACCGGAATCGGTCCAAACTGGAACCGGAACTGATGGCCTACGATTTGGTTCTGGTTCTGGTTCCACTATGTTTAAAACCGTGAATCTGCGGTTCTAAGAACTGGCCAGAACCGTACGGGACCACCGGTTTTTCCAGTTGATTAGAACCAATGATTCCAACCAGATTTTGAATCTATGTTAAATGGCTAGAACCAGCGGTTCTAGCAACTTTTTTTTTCAAATATTTTTGTGAAAACCCCAAATTACTCTTCTTAACAATTATAAACACCTACATAACGGCTAGTTTCAAAGTTATTTGTGGAAAAATTATTTTTTGGATTTATTATAAATACCTCATTTCATTTACAATCCTCTCACACAAAATTATCTCTACTCTCTCTATTATATATTATTCTCTACTCTATAATCTCTCTAATTTTCATTCTTAAATTATTGTCCAAAATATTCCTTTAAACTCCAAGAAGATATATAGGCAACTTAATTTTTGAAAAAAAATTAAGTATATAGGCAACTTAATTTTTTGAAAAAAAAAAATTAAGTTCAAGCCCATTTTTTTTTAAATAAAAAATCTCTCTAATTTTCATTCTTAAATTATTGTCCAAAATATTCCTTTAAACTCCAAGAAGATATATAGGCAACTTAATTTTTGAAAAAAAATTAAGTTCAAGCCCATTTTTTTTTAAATAAAAAAATAAGTTCCAACTTTTTCAAACAAAAAGTAAATTAAGTTGAAGACTTTTTTTTTTTAAAAAAAATAAAGTTCAAGATTTTTTTTAAAAAAATAAATTAACTTCAAGCATTTTTTAATTTTTTAAGGGTATTTTTTTTTAGAAATTATTTCGCAAATTTTTAAATTTTAAGTTTTGTAGAAAAAATGTTCTCTACTTTTTTATTTTACAATTATGCGATTCACCGGAAAACTAGTCGGAGAACTGACTGAAACCATCGGTTTTGAAACCGTTAAGGAACTGGAACTAAACCGTAACCGTTCGGTTCTAAACGTAACCGAAACCGTTAATTTGCTTTTCAATTCCAAAACCGTGGCCACCCCTAGTTGTGGTTGAGAAATATCGGATGAATCTGTTGATCATGTGCCATCATTCTATCAAAGAAAGCATTAAATGAGTGCTTAACATAGGATGTAAATACATCACGTGTACCAAAAGACATCGTAGAGATATTGAAAGCATGTACTGTATATTGAAATGGCGTTGGCTCGCCCATTTCGAGAAAGAAGTATGGGTTTATTAGGATGCTATGGAGTGTAATGAGTGTTCAATGAGATTTTTAATGTTGCAGATGGTATATTCCACTCAAATTGTTGACTATCCATTAGAAATTAATATAACTGTGTAAGAAAGTTTATATTTTTATTACTTACTTGAAATATTTATGCATTAAAACCACTAGATGATATGTGTATTTTGGTAAAAAAAAAATACTTTGGGTAAACATTTTTTTTTTATTGAAACACATTTGTTAGTCGTGTGAACTCTTAACAAAACACTATTTTCTCGTGTATTTTTTTGTTGACTAGTGGTCACATCCACATTTGCATTAATCACCAAATGAATTGTGTTTAGTAAAAAGTCATTTGACAATTTAAAATTTTTATTTTGTACTGAAATCACCAACTGAATTGGTGGTTTTAATATAAAATAAAAATTATTACTACATCTGTTCATAATACTTGTTACATTTGTAGTTTCAAGGAGCAGTAAATGCCTTTTTTCTATGTTTACCTTTTGCATATGACCAATAATTATTCCTTTAATTTAATGATTTTTTTAGAGAAGTAGTATTAAATTAAAGGTAATATAGTCAATTTACTCAATAATTTATTGTAACTTAGATAAATTTAATGGTTTTCTTAAGGGATGTGAAATTCCAAATGTGATAAGTACTCCACTTGTCCCAAATATAAGGTTTTTGCATAAAGATTAAGGAAGCAATTAATTCTCCTAGATTATAGCAAACTTGAAGATAACTTGATCAAATTATCATTTATCTCAAAATCAATAGTTGATTGTGAATTATTTATTGTATTTAGTGTAAACAATGGCAATATTGAAAAAATATCATATATTATTTCTTGAAATATACAAAACGACCTATATTTTGAGATAAAATAACAAACAAAAAATGACTTATATTTTGAGACAGAGGTATTATTTATTCCTCCAATTACTTTTTGCTGGCTGCTTCTTAATACATAGAATTTTTTACTGACTACTTGCCAATACGGATTTTAGTGCGGGACAAACATTAAATTGATAAATATTTTGCATTTTAACGTTAGATTTGTAATTAGTTTTTTTTTAAAAGCATTATTTTTTTGTCAAAATCTCATCATATTGAAACTCAGTTTTATTTTTCTGTAGATATTAGAATTTTAGTCTACTTGTACTGCAGCATTGTATCAATATATTTGGTACAATAATATTTTTAGACGAAAAAAAAAAAAAAGAGATTACGTTTAAAATAAATGGATGTAAATGTATGTTGTGTTAAATTTAAGGGGATTTCTTTAATTTTCCCTTTTCTATATTACCATTTTGACTACTCTAAATTTTTTGTGTCTATTTTCCAGCATGAAAGATGATGTTGCAGGAGAGGTTCCAGCAGCATTTGTTGTGAGATCAAAGGGTTCCAATATCACCGAGGGTGAAATCAAACAATATATTTCGAAACAGGTAATTTTTTTATCAAATAAAATCACAGAACATAAAATAAAAATGGTTTGAACTTTAAAATGCATATGTACTACTATCTATAAAATTATCTATTATAGAATAAAATTTTTATTGATAAAATTAAATAATTATTAAATTTTAGGTGCTCCTACTTAAAACAAATCTTCACAATCAAAGTTTGATTTATTTATTTCTATTTATTTTATTGGGCAATGATAATAGTGATTATTATTTTTTTTTTTTTGGTTAATATAGGTTATATTTTACAAGAGAATCAAAAAGGTTATTTTGGTGGATGCAATTCCGAAACTAACATCAGGTAAAATTTTAAGAAAAGTCCTTAGAGAAAGGCTTTAATTTGTGTCAATTTGTTTTGCATAATTACTTTTGTACTTTATATCCACAGTATATGTGTGTACGACGCCGTAGACAATTCAAAATATTATTAGACCGTGTTTGAATAAAATTTAATTATCTAAGATACGTAGGGTCGAAACTAGAAATTATTTTGAACTATGGTCAGTGGCACAATTAAAAAAAATAGTTAGGTGAGCTAAAAAAATTTCAAAATTTTGGAGGATAATTTTTCTATATATATTGAAAATTTTCTATATTTATGAGTTAATTGTAGAAAAATTTTAAACATAAGGGGAAAGGCGTTGTGGCCACCCTAATTCTATTCCGTCATTGGTATCGAAGATGGGTTGATAGAATTGTATTGTAAAACAAGAATTGAAAAATCCTAAAATTTTACATATCACAAAAATAATATTTTGTAAAAAATATAATACGATCAGTAAAATCATGAGGTCAAAGGGATTTTATCTGCATAATGGTGGCTCCTTTAATAGCGTATATTTATAAAATCTCTTATAGATAATGAAAGATTGACTAATCAAATCACGTATGATTGGCTTGTTTTTAATAACTTTTATATAAATTTAACTTTCACTATAGCTCCACCTAAAAATTAGGGAGGTCAATAATGAACTTAAAAAAAAAAAAAAAAAGAGAAAAAGAGAAAAGTGAAGATTAAAATAGTAGTATTGTTTAGATTAAATTAATAGTTCCATTTTCTGGACAGGAAATTAATAAACGGAACATAAACATCGCACTTGCATAAAAGTACAATTTATCGAAATATCATATACACAAATAATAAAGGTAAAGCTCTTCTCCATTTTTGCATTGGAAGAGTTACGGCTTGAGAATTAGATTACTCTTTTTGAAGGGCAATTAGGCAAAAGATTCAGATAGTGGGGACTAATTGGGAGGACCATCCGCAAGCCTTGCTCTAAGGTCTTTTCTCAAAATTTTGCCTGAGGGAGCTTTAGGAATTGCATCTGTGAAAAATACCTTACTGATTCTCTTGTAAAATATAACCTATATTTGTACAAAATTACCAAATTAGTCACTTTTAGTTCTATCATGACCCCGTCATCAAGCATTAGATTGTAAAAAATATATATATACAAAAAAAATACCTGTTTTGAAATGTATTGTTTAATTTCATCCTCTGTGATCTTGGAACCGTTTGATCTAACCACAAATGCAACAGGAATCTCTCCTGCAGCCTCATCTTTCATGCTGAAATACAAAATTATGTTAATTAGGGAGTAATCAAAATGGTAATATAGAAAAAGAGCAAATTACAGAAATTCCATTGAATTAAACAAAATACATATTTACATCCATTTATTTTTTAAACTCTTTTTTCTCTTTCAAGAAATATTATGTTGTGATCAAAACAAACTAAACCCTCTAAAATGGATAGAAAAATCAAACTTGAAATCTTTGAGCTTCCTTTAGGACCTTAATTCAGTAACTATTTGGACTAATCTTCGGCAATAAATTATTGGCTCTTCAATATTAAAAGAAATAATGCTTATATTGTATTTTAGACCCTGACTTCTAAAAAACTGTTTTATTCAAAATTTAAAATATTAAAATAATATTCTAATAAGATTAAAACGAGGTTTAATTGTGTTTAAAAAAAAATCTTTTTAGTGATTTATTGAAAGAAAAAATGAACAAAAAGGAGTAGGGAACTTACGGTACGACAGCAGCATCAGAAATGTTAGGATGGGCGATCAACATTGCTTCTAGTTCGGCGGGGGCCACTTGGAATCCTTTGTACTTGATCAATTCTTTTAAACGATCAACGATGAATAGCTCATCATCATCATCAATGTATCCAACGTCACCTGTATGCAGCCATCCATCTTTGTCTATAGTCCTCTCTGTTGCCTCTGGGTCATTTAGATAGCCTGTCCAACAAGAGTTGGTCAAAGTCAAAACTTTGTTTTATATATTCACTGCATTCAGACCATTTCCATGAACATATTTGTAATTTCCACTTGACCATTTCAAAGAAATTTCATTATTTTGTTTCCTAAGAAATTTTGGAAGAGATGGAAACTGATGTTACTAAGGTTAAGCTCATTATTTCATAATTTCAGAATAATCGAGTCACGGAGTTTGACCAAAGTCAAAGCATCGTTAGATTATTATTATGATAGGTAAATGTAATATGAGTATCAACGTAGGTGAACTCAATATTTTATTTTATTCTCATTATCAACATCATAAATTTATAATTTTCAATTTTACATTGTAAAAATTGAATTGGACCAAACTAGCTTTGTAATAATTAATTGTGGAAGATATTGTGCCGATGCCATTTATATTTATCAGAAAGTTTACTTAGTTTGTATAAGGTTTATTACTTAATTCGATGACTTTAAGTTATTCAAATCCTAGTACCGGTTTGGCTCGTTATATTATTAAAATTGTAATTAAAAAAAAAATTAAATTCACCTGTACCAAATGGTGGGTATTGAATATTAGTATTTGAGTTGGATAAGGATGATAAATTATTACTCAAGTTATATATTAATAAGTCAAAACAAATTATGAAAAACAAAATCTCAAACCTATTTCACCAAATATTCAATCTGACCAAGCAATCCATGTGAAGTTGATGGACTCTTGTTGCAACTAACTTATATAAGCGAACAACCTTTTCTTTTTGTCCTTCTTCTTCCTTTATTTCATCCTTCAAGACTAAAATTAAATAATATATAAAAATTGATCTAATTGTTTACTAAAGGAATAGAAAAATAATATTCTTATATTTGTTATAACTTCTACACCATCTATAATTAGATTGTACAGAAAATTCAAAGATTTTATCAAGTCAATCGAGATATATCCGCCTTCTCAAATTCATTTTCGAATTTTTTATTTTTTATTAGATCAATGAATTATGATGTTATATTTTGATTATGACATTTTTATTTTCTATCTGGCATTCAAAAAGGCTCTGTATATAATGAAATCATAAAATATTATATTTTTTAAAAAAATATTCTATATTGTATGTAATTCTACATTAATTAATAAATAAATATTATAAGTATATTCTCTGTATCACATAAGTCAACGATCTAGTTAGGTATGGCTACCGATTTATTTTCAACTTGAACCAAACTATACTGTAGATGAACCAGAACTAGTCTAAAATCATTAGTTCAAAACTTTGAACCGGAATCTACAGTTCAAGGGCAGGTCGAAGTTCATATGAATGTTAAAATCTGAACCTGAACCAGCCTAGAATCGGCAGTTCCGGTCTGGTTGGAACCCAAAATTTTTTATTTTTATTTTCAAAATGATAATCATTTAATCTATTCTATATACCTCTGAAAGTCTCAATAATATTTTACTACATGATATACTTCACTTAAGATTTTTTTTTTTTTGAAAATACACTTTACTTCAAAAGTTAAAAATAAAAGTGAAAAATCTAAAAACTAAAAATGGTAAAAAAAAAAAAGAAGGAATACTTAGTCTAAACTTATATGTTTTTTATTTTTTTTTCCCTTTTAAATTGTTTACTAAAGTTCAAAATTACATTCTTTGCGAAGAATTTCAAATTTACTAATAAAATTTTATTTAATTATAAATAATATTTAGACAAAAATAAAAGTGTGAGAATTTATTTTGATTATTTTTTTAAAATAATGTATTTTTATTTTAGTGAACAGAGCATTTCTAAAATTTAATTTAAAATACACATTTCCACCTCAATTAGTTTTCAACTCATATAAGAAAGAGTGTAAAACAATTAGAATCAATTTAAAATATAATATATTATATACCATATATCGCCAGAAAACCGTGATCGTGAATAATTTATTTAATTAATAATATTTAGACAAAATAAAGTGATAATTTATTTGATTATTTTTTAAAATTAATTATTTTTATTTTTATGAACATGAGCATTCTAAAATTTAATTTAAAATAAAATTTATCAATATTTTTCAAACTCATATTAAGAAAGATGTAACATTAGAATCAATTAAAATATATATATATATACATATATCGCCAGAAACCGTGATCGTAACCGTCGGTTCATTGAAACCGACCGGAATCGGAATCAGCGGTTCAAGGGTCAGTTCATGTTCTATATTTTAAAATTTTTGAACCGCCGGTTCCACGCGGCTCAATAAACCGATCATACCTAAATCTGGTGAATATTATTTAAAAGAGAGACTACTCTGCTGTGTATCCCACAATATTATTCCGGTCCATTGAGCCTTCCATATATAAAAAAGTATTACAAGTATATAACTTGCAAGTCACCCCGTGATATAAAATAAATGCAAGTGATGCTAAGGCTTAAAAATAAGTAAGTAGTAGTTGAACAACTTAATAATGTAAAATTTGAATAATAGATAAGATAGGTACCTTTCATGATTTGGCTACCCCTAATGCAAATCTCTCCGGCTTGATTTCGAGGCAGCGAGTTGCCGGTATCAGGATCCACGATCTTCATCTCGGCGTTTCTGACGACGGTTCCACAAGCACCGGATTTTATCTCGAAAGGCTCCTTTGCAAATGCCAGGCACATCGATAGCACTGGTCCTGCTTCTGTCATACCATAGCCCTGCAGAAATTTATTATTATTATTATTATCATTATTGTATTGAGTAATTCTGAAACTAAACAAAGCAATTATTTTTCATACATGATAATTACAGGAAAAAAGAAAAGGTCAGAACCTGAAATATTTAATAATATGTTTATTCGTAAAACAGATCACAGAGATTTGTTCATTGAATTGCTAATTAAATTGCATATCAAAAGATAATTATTTGAAAGCAAAGTTATCAACTATAATTAGAAATTAATAATGATATCACTACAAATAGATGTGTAAATGAGCCGAGCCGAGCTTGAAGCTCGATTCCATAGAATTTAGTTTGGCTCGAAACTCGGCAAACATAAAAATTTTAGATTCAAATTCGACTTGAGCCTTAAATTTAATTAGAAAAATTTTAAGCTCAAATTTCAATATTCAAATAAGTTTAAAATAAAAATTTTATATATGTATATATAAAAGTTCAACAAGGCTCGATGAGTTATCGAGCTAAATATTGTTAGGCTTGAACTTAAGTTCGATATGAGCCGAACTTTTTAAATTTTTTTCGAGCAGAACCCAAAGAGTTCGGGAGCCAAATCATGCATTAATTTACACCACCTAACTACAACCACTAACTATAAATATGAGGGACCATTTTCAGATAGGATTTGATAAAGTATTTTTCCATATTAATCTATAATTGAGAAAAACAATTTCAGATTAGGAAATTAAACTAAACAAACCATAAAAGATATAAATAATTAAAACATTTAATTACTAGTTACCTGTCCAAGTTTAGCATTAGGCAGCTTAGCTCTAACAGCATCCTCAAGCTCCTTCCCCATCGGAGCTGCACCGGACATCACCGTCCGGATCGACGAAAGGTCATACTTATCGACAACCGGACTTTTTGCGATGGCCAAGACGATCGGAGGCACAAACGGAGCTATTGTCACCTTATATTTTGTTACAAGCTCCATTAATGAATTAATTTCAAATTTTTGCATGATTAAAATGGCAGCTCCAACTCTTAATCCGCAGAGCAAAACTGAATTAAGAGAGTAAATATGGAATAATGGCAGTAGACAAAGAATCACGTCTTTCTCATGAAAATAAAGATTCGGATTCTCTCCGTCAACTTGTTGAGCTACGCTAGTGACTAATCCTTTATGCGTTAGCATAACGCCTTTAGGAAAGCCGGTAGTTCCTGACGAATAAGGAAGAGCCACGACATCGTCGGAGTTAATTTTAACGGTGGGAATATCGTTTTCATCGCAGCTTGTTAATTCTGAGAAATGTAAACAATCTTCCGGCGGGGAATCTATTGTCATTACCTTGATATCACTGTCTTTAGCGAATTGTTTTACTTTCTCTGCATAAACAGCTTGTGTTATCACCAATTGCGCCTTTGATGCCGTCAATTGCTTCTTTATCTCCGCTGGAGTGTAAAATGGATTTGCGGTTGTACTAATGGCGCCGCGAAAGGAAGCGCCGAGAAATGCGAAAACAAATTCCGGCGAGTTTTGGAGTAAAAGCATTATAACATCTCCCTGTTGGATACCTAACTTGTCGAGACCTGCGGCGACTTTACGTGATGTGAGTTCAACGTCTGCATAAGTGTAGATTTCGCCGGTGGCGCCATTGATTAAGCAGGGATTGTCTTTAAACTGAGAAATGTTTTCAAAGCAATAAGTGTGGAGAGGCAGGTGGTTTGGGATATAGATATCTGGAAGCTTGGATCGGAAAATGAAGTCTTCTTGATTATCAAGCTTGGTCTCCATTATCGTTGCAGGAAGAGAGAAAGAGGAGGAGAAGTAGAACAAGAAGAAGAGGGTGTTTGGTTATGGGATTTTTCTCTGGTAGATTTTGAGTTTTGGTAGAGATGTAATATACAAGTAGGTGCTGATGAGGAAGGAGTTGGTGAAAGGGAGTTGAAAGGGATTGTGATATTTGTTAAGGGTATGACCTGACAAGTGGATGAAATTCAAATGTATGGTGATGGTCATATATGTTACACAACATTTGTCATAAATAATTCTTTATTTTTTGACACATGCGGCAATAATGACACGTGCATAAACCAATTCTTGTTTTTCAATTTCTTTGAATCCATTTTTTTTTAGGAAAGAATTCAATTCTTGTCATTCGAATACTCTTTTTTTTTCTTACTTTAATCAAACTGAAAAAAAAAATTAGCTAGACTTATTAAATCCTTATATAGCTGCATTATTATATATTGTTTCAATTAAATTCTATGGCGATTAAGTTAGTAATCAAAGAATTTCTTCAAAAAAAAAAAAAAAAAGTTAGTAATCAAAGAATCAAATTTCTGCTTCGTAATATTTTTATGATATAGAAAAAATAAAACTAATGAGATACTAATAAAATTAAATGGAAATTAAATTAATTCAAAATAAATATAATTAGAAGTAAAATTTTGCAGTTAAAATTGTCTTAACTTCTTTATTTTTTTTTCTATTTGTTTAGCAATTATTGTCTTAACTATACTCTTTTATAATAATCCATATAAATAATTAATAGTAGTGCATTTGTATTATACTGCTAAACCATATATGCACTTATCACTAAGTTATATTTTGGTGTACATGCATCTTAAGAAATATAAAATTTAGTATACTCACCATTCATTTTTTAAAAAATAAAAAAAATTATAATCAAACTAATTATTCTTAAACCGTGTCTATTAAATCCTTAATTAGTTTGGTAGTGTCGTATAGTCACCTAATTTGAGGGGCTTTGGAAGTTAGAAAATGGGGGTTGGTGGAGGGCCGCCAATCATACGCCACGTACCTAACATACTCACCTTCTCGTTTTACGGCACGTTGCACACTTGTTCTTATAAACGCTACACCATTCACCTACCACCCAATTTTCCTCAATTTTACATACATTATAAATTTATAATGTATAATTTATAAATTTAATTGCAACGTTTGTTTATTTCTCCCTGTGTTGCAAAATATACTTCTTTTATTCCATAATATAAATCTTTTAAAATTTTTATATTGTGATTCAGAAAATAATTAATTTTTTTTAAATTATAACAAAAGTAACAGTAATTTGACGAAATTATTATTTATCTCAAAATTAAAAGTAATTTTATTATATTTAATGTAAATAAGGGTAATATTGAAAAACATCATTTATTAGTGTTTAAAATTCTCAAAACGACTTATATTTACTGTAAAATTATCACCCAAAAATGACTTATATTTTGGGAGGAGAGAGTAAGTCGTTTAAGGTTTTTATATGAAAATTAATGAAGCAATTAATTCTTCTAAATTATAATTGAATCAAAGGTGATTTGATCAAATTACCCTTTATTTCAAAATAAAAAATAACTCGTGAAGGTAGTTCTATATTATATCTAATGTAAATAAATGTAATATTGAAAAATATTATTTATTAGTCCTTAAAATACTCAAAAAAACTTATATTTTAGGATAAAGTAATCACTTAAAAATGACTTATATTTTGAGATAGACGGAGTATTTCTATAAGAAATTTAATATTCTCCAATGAGGTTATAAATTAAAAGGAGTGAGGATGGGATTTAAATTCAGACATGAATAATTTTTACCTTGTCTATTAGGGCAATACTTCATTGATTTATTAGGTTATATTATAATTGCAATTGATTTAAAAAAAATAAAAAGAGAGTATTTTTAGCCATTTTAGACATGAAATGTCTTATTTTTAGTGGTAAAATTAGACACAAGTAGAAAATTACACATCTAGATGCTAGATTTTATGAAATTCAATAACAACTAGCAAAAACATAACTTTTTTTTTTCTTACATTTTAGTGATACTTCCAAGGGTGTTGCTGCCTATTTTGTTTATATTGAAGGCAATCATATAAGAACTTCTTAAAATTAATTGGAGTTTTTGTATATTAAAATTTTATATGGATTTTAAATTTTTTGTTTAAATTTTTATACTAAGTATGTGAAAGATATAGTTTAAACATAAGATTCAAACATTTTTTTCCATTCAAAGCTTCTTTTGAGTTAGGAAAAACCTATCTTATATTTAAACTTACTAACTCAGTTAGAAATCTTAAGGATTAATATTTAATAATTGACGTTAAAAGGACTAATATTTTAACTAATTATAATTCTAATATTGTAACTAAATTATAATATTAAATAACTAATAATTGAACTCAATTATTATGGTGATAGACTAATATTTATATCTAATATTGAAAATAATATTACAATATCAAAATTTAATAAAAAAAAAGATAAAGATTACTAAAAATTAATATTTAAATTCAATTAGAAATCCTCTTATTTAAATTTATAAATTAAATTTAAATTTATTATTTAAAATATTAAATTACGAGTATTGACCACATAGATAAATAAGTTGCAAAACACGTTTTTGAAAACTAGTAAATTAAAGTATGGAGCTATATGTAACTTACTTATGCTTTTTGCCGTAAAATAAGACTTCATATCATTATGTATCACTATTATTTAATAATTATTAATCTTTAAATACATTTGGAAGGGCCCTGCTGCGGGCTGGATTGTTGAATACTGATGGATGTTCTAAAGGTAACCCAGGTCAGGCCGGATGTGGTGGACTGTGTCGGGATCACAATGGTAAGTGGCTGGCTGGGTTCAAGATGAATATTGGTGTTTGTTCTGCTTTTGAAGCAGAATTATGGGGCGTTCTTCAAGAGCTTATGTTGGCTTGGAACAAGGGTTGGAGGAAAGTGTAACAACAAGTTGACTCTTTGTCAGTTGCTAATTTGCTTAAAGCTAAGAAGATTGTGGCTGGTTCTTCTCATAATGTCCTTCCTGCTTGTGTTGCTCTTCTAAGTCGTTCTTGGGAGGTTGAGGTTACTGCCATTTACAGGGAAGCAAATTCAGTAGCTGATGGTCTATCTAATGAGGCTTTGAAGATGAGTAGATGTTTCCATTTGGTGCATTCATCTTATGCCATGATTTCTTAACTTTTGGAGGGTGACAGAGCTGGTGTTTTTTGGCCTAGACAAATTGTTTAGCTTTGGGTTGTATACCCTCCTTAGAAGTTAAAAAAAAAACATTTATATGTAAAATTGTATATTTCCTACAAAAAAAAAAAAAAAAAAAAATGAAGATGAGTAGATTTTCCATTTTGGTGCATATCATGCTTGAATGCCATGATTTCTTAACTTTTGGAGGGTGACATGAGCTGGTTGTTTTTTTGCCTAAGACAAATTGTTTACGCTTTTTGGGTTGTATACGCCCGCCTTAGAAGTTAAAAAAAAAAACATTTATATGTAAAATTGTATATTTCCTACAAAAAAAGAAAAAAAAAAAAAAAAGAAGAAGAAAAAGCTTATCATATAATGCAAGTGATCCTCTCCTAAGGCATATAACAAATAGCTAGAAATAAGCCAAATGAATTTAAATTTTTTGCAAAAGGAAGACAAAGTTGTAATATTTATCTATATTATTCCATGTGATGCTCATCATTTAATATGATGCTAAAAAAAAAAAAAAAAAAAAAGAAGAAGAAAAGCTTATATATAATGCAAGTGATCCTCTCTAGGCCATAAACAAATAGCTAGAAATCCAAGCCAAATGAATTTATTTTGCAAAGGGAGACAAAGTTGTAATATTTATCTATATATTCCCATGTGATGCTTAATCATTTAATATGATGCTTGTTAATCTTACATCCTGAGATTGTGCCACTTTAACTCCTTATGTTGGCTTTTTGACTTTACATAATTATTGTTGTTGATTAAATTTGATCTACGACAACTTTATTTAACTTCGAGTCATTTCTGTGTTTGTAGGTTGACTCTCCTATGCATTTTGACTAAAGTATTAAATGAATTTCTAAAAATAATTTATTTTGTTCCATTTATATTTTAAGTGTCATCTTTTAGAGTTCAAAAAAGAATTTATTATATTTTATTTTTTTTAACCTTATTTATTGAATCTCACTATGATTCTCACTTCATAGTTTATATAAAAGGGTATTGAAATAATTTCAAATGAAAATTTTATAAAATTAAGGTAAATTAAGTATTTTCTTATTCTATGTAAAAAAAAATTGAAAGTTTGACAATTTGAGTAAAGTAAAGGAATACAAAAATATTAAACTAAGTTTTTAAGTAATATATATATAATTATATGTATATAATTCTGCAGCGAAAAATATATTCAAAATGCTGATGTGACGCTCTTCTTTTTCAATGTTCCATCTTTTCGTTTTTTTATGAAATTTTTAGACTTTATCTTTTTTTATATATATTTTGATTGGATATATATATTTATTTAAATTCTTTTCTCTCTAAATAGATATATACCATGCTCCAATTTTGAATTTTTAAATATTTTCTTATCTATATAATACCTATATCTATATATATTACATACATTTCGCTTTTCTACTTTGTACTTGCCGGTGAGAGTCTCATATCATCAATATTGTTCATCATTTCATATTTATATTGATTTTATTTTTAAAATTTTGTTGGCTGATTGAAAGAATTTTAGGCTTTTGTTTTGATATAGGAACAGCAAAGTAAGTGTGTTTAGATACGAGTCTATTTGATCTCTAACGGTATAAGTACTACATGTTTATTATTTCTAGAAAGAAAAAATTAGCTTCATAAATTGTTCAAACATTTTTTTTTTTTTTTATGAATGTGATTGGTTTTTTTGAATGTTCCTTTATAGGTGGATTTGACAATTGACACTAATGGTAATCTTTTGATCCTTTCTTATATTATAACTTTTGTGTATATTGTCATTCTCTTCTTTGAATATTTCTTTTTTCCTTTTCTTACACATTCTCTACATTTTTCATTTATTTCTTTAATTAATTTTTTATTAGATATATAGAAATATAATT